TAGGCAGATTTCCGCCGCCTAGGTAGCTAGCTAGCGAGCTAGCTACCTAGTTATTCCGCTTATCCGTCCGCCCGTATGCACAGCGAATAGCTGTCGAAACCGCCGTTGTTTGTCTCAGTATGCGAAGGTTCACTTGCTGCGTGATTAGCCTAACTGTAGTTGCTGCTCCGAGCAACATGCTCGATAGAGCATTGAGGTGAAAAGCAGCGAGTCTATGAAGAAATATCAGAATGTAAACTTTACATTCTGAGGCCTTTCCACCTCGCATGGTGGGGTTGCGGTTTTCCTTCCGACTTGTTATTATGATCCGACTCTTGTTTGTCCGTGAATATCATTATTTATTCGTGTACATCTCTGCTAGGCAGACGAACTGTATGTTGGTGCAGAAAGCTGCACTAGATACTGAAACAAAGAAATTCATATCAAAAGACTTGAATTTATATCTGAAATCACTTAATATCTAAAGAATCTCAGAAGCCATACAACAGAAAGACCACGAAAACGAAAATTAAGAATATGAACAACTGCATAGCCATTTCCGATTCGCCGTTAGTGTCACGTTAGTACCCCCCAAAACTAATATAGTTGTTTGTACATTAATTTGTCTATTTGATTATCCAGCACAAAGCAACCAGCTTTCCTTGTTTTTCAGTCGAAGATAAGCACAGCACAGCCACAGAAGTGATGCACAGCCAGAGTCACAGTGAATGCAATAACATAGACAAGCAATGATGTATTAATAGTTTATAGAGATGCGGAAACAAACATATCAACGCAAACATATATAACCAGACAAATGCACGCTTTTCATAGGGTTACTTGCCCCCATAGAAATAGATATTGCAAACGTAAACACAGTCGGAAGATAACCTTCTACGGCTTATGCTGCTTCTTGAAAGATCAAATAGATAAGATTCCAGCAGTATTGCTTTCCGTAGCGCTCGTCGACTTCACCGATTTATATTGACTTCTCCAGTTTTTCCTCAGCAGGATTGCTTGCAGGGGCAGTAATGCCAGCTTGTGTGAAAACGGCTGAAGCGACGATAGGAACATACAAGTGTTATATATATGTGCTGCTCTACTGAGAACACACACACACACACACACACACACACA